ATCATTTTTATTTTGTTTAAAATTGTCTAGGCTATATGAGTTATCTAAATAAAACCAAATTAATACCTACTATTTACCATGTAATACTGCCCAGCAGAAGTAACCCCATCCCCCCACCTCACTATCTGGGATTAACTTGTAAATTAGACAGTCACTTTCTAATCTTACCAGTATCAGTTTGTAAACAACACAATCGTATTTTTTTTTCTTATATGGGTACATATTTAATATCCTCAAATATCAAAATAAATTGCTACTTTGAAACATGTTTTTAAAAAAACAGAGTGTTTTAAAATTTTTTAGAACAAAAGGATAGAGTTGAATTTTCCCATCAAATGACCCAAATTTTTTGTACATTTTTAAAGTTTTATAGAAAATGAGGTCACTCATATGCAGCTTCACTTTCAAGAACGTGAGATTATCATTTAATCAAGAATTACTTAGAAAGTACTTACAGTGCACGTAGCATTGATTTGTGGGTTTATTTCAGTCACATACTTTAACATTGGATAAAATTGCAAATGCAGTGTTTACTACTCACTCTACACTTCATTTTCTACACAATGTAAATTCTAAGTTATGTGGGGAGCAGTAACCACCTTTCTCCAAAAGAATGCGTGTTTGATTTTAGAAAAGGAAACCAGGGGCACCTGGATGGCTCAGTGGTTGAGCGTCTGCCTTTGGCTCAGGATGTGATCTCAGGGTCCTGGGATCGAGTTCCACAATGGGCTTCCTGTAGGGAGCCTGCTTCTCCCTCTGCCCATGTCTCTGCCTCTCTCTGGGTCTCTCATGAATAAATAAATAAAATATTTAAAAAAATAAATAATAGAAAAGGAAACCAAAAATAATTGAAAGTGTATAATTCTGGTATAATATTTTATAGGTTGAGGTCCATTCCCTTAGGCCTTTCTATCCTTTACTTAACTCAATTTAACTTCTCTATTCAAGTCTCATTATATGGGCAGCCCCGGTGGCGCAGCAGTTTAGCGCTGCCTGCAGCCCAGGGTGTGATCCTGGAGACCCGGAATCCAGTCCCACATCGGGCTCCCTGCATGGAGCCTGCTTCTCCCTCTGCCTGTGTCTCTGCCCCTCTCTCTCTGTCTCTCATGAATAAATAAATAAAGTCTTTAAAAAACAATCTCATTATATAAGAGTCAGAACATTTGGGTCTTTAACTGACTTGCTGAAATATATTTGCAAAGTTGTTTTCTTAACACAACAAATTCAAACATTGTCTTTAAATCAGCAACACTCCACCATGAAATTGAGGCTGTGTATGTGTAGGATCATTGTCCCTCTTAAAGTAATCTGAGATTCTACCTGCAAATCTGTAACTTCAAGGTCTTGCTGAGTGATGAAGTTACCCAATGTGGGAGATTGACCTTTTTCTAAAATTGATTAAATTAATTTCCAAGTTCCCCCTCCAGCCTTTGGCACCTCTGTTGACTTTCTTCCTATTAAATGCATAGCCCACCAAGGACTGTTACTTGTATTCATCCCTGAAGCAGCAGTTCTGGAAATGAGGCTACACTGGCCTGCCGTAATACATTTAGCTGTCTGCAGTTGATTTATCTCCTATGCCTGCTGGCTGTCATTGAGACTTTACCCCAAAGGGCAATGGAATATCCAAGTTTAGAGGGACAGGCAAGGCAGCCTAATAGCTGGCATTGTCTAGTGGTGAAATTGAGAGTGGACAGCAAATGTAGCAGGAAGTAGAGGTATGGGAAACTAAGCAGTTACAGTCCACCCCCTTAATATAACAGCCCATTTCCAAAGAACTGCCTCTAGATATGTTTAGCCCAGTTTCATTTATCTGACAATTTATGTATCCATTCAACAAACTTCTAAGTTACTGCTATTTTCCCATACTTCGTTAGGCACTGGGCACGTATCACTTCAGAAGACTCATTTTGCTGTCACAGATTTCACCATCTGGCAGCAGGGACAGGCCTGGAAAAAGTTAACTGCATTCGGTACCAAAAGCACAGTAATGTGAACAGGAGCACACAGCCAGGGAGGCAAAGATGAATCATGATTATCTGTGCTTGGGAAGATTGGGTAAGGCTTCACAGGAGGGAGTAGCCTTTGAGCTAAAAAGAGATCTCAGAATAAGAATTCACTAAAGACTGTTATCCAAACTCCTGGAGGGAAAATACTCCAAAGCAGTCATGGCATGACTTGGTGTATTCAATAGAGCAAGAGGTGTTGCTTGCCTCCCTTTTCAATTGTACTTGAAAGAGAAAAAAATACAAGTTCACCCTATATGGTGCCTGGTAAGAGTAGATATTGCCTATGTTTGCCTAGTGAAGGAATACATTTGTGTGTGCGTATATTTTGAGAAGCTTAAGGAAGAATACTCTTTTATTACTGTGAGAAGCTGGAGGATTCCTGCCGTAGTTTTCACGTTCATACTTGGTGTTCTGACTCAGGCATCACTTTTTATGTCAATGGGGTGGAACCAAAATGAATTTATATATTAAATGTTCATTTAGGAACGTTAACCAAAACTTTTAAAGCTCTATGAAGGAGGGTTTTTTTTTTTATTTTGTCTGCATACTAATGAAAAGTAAGCCTGTTTTCTCTCCCTTTTCTCATGTAGTTTTATTAGTGCTATCAAATTTAATGACTCTTCTGCCCTTTTTTGCTGTCATACCATAATGACTTCAGATCCATATATGCTGATTTAGCTTTGAAAGCAAGTTGGGAAAAAAAATAAATTACATTCTAACAGATTCTCCTTATGTTTGTATCATTTATTTTTTCTGCTTATATTCTCCGATAAGTAGTTAAATGTTTTTTTGAAACCAGAAGCTAGGGAAGCCTGCTGTACCAGCAGTACATGTATTTGTTATAGTTGAGATGCTTTGCCTCTGGGGCCAGCTTCATGGGTGTGTGTCCCATGCAATTACAGTCACATGAGGTCCACTCTTAGAAGGGCCCTGCACTTGGTTTAATGCTCTACTACTGCCATCTTGAAATTCTTAGTAATATTTGAAGAAAGAGCTCCGTGAATGACATAGTCAGACCTGCTGGCATTAAGAAAAACATTTAAGTTTTGACATACATAAAACGACACTTTTACCGTAATGAAAGCTCTTAAAACTTATTTCAAGCATTCTCTTTCTCAAGTAAGCCATCCTGAGCCTTTGCTCTCACATATATGCTCCTCATTATACCTTATCCTGTCTCCATATGTTAGTGTCAGTGGAGATATAACCAGGGGTCTATTCTCAAACTTTCCTCTCCTGTCAGCTTACTAACCATTGCTCTGTTTGACCTGTTTCCTTGACTCCTAGGATACCACTCTGTGCTGATTTTCTTATTACCTCACTGGTAGTTCCTTCTCACCCTTCTTTGCTGGCCCTTTCTTGTTTCCTCAGCCTCCTAAAATTGGGATGCACCAGGGATCAGGGGATTCCAACTACTCCATACCCATTCCTTCCTGAACTCATCAGGTCTCTTGGTTTTATATGCCATCTATATGCCAATCACTGCCAAATTTATATCTCTTTACAGGTCATCTCTACTTGGGTATCTAAGAGACATCTCAAACTTAGTATGTCTAAACTGAATTTTTTGAACTTGCTACTCAAAATCATTCTACCTACTTTCCTCCCATTTCAGAGGAAAAAAATCTATTCTGGTTGCTTATATAAAAATAATAATCACCTTCAATCCCATTTTTCTCTCATATTCCATTTGTTAGAAAATCTTGTTGGTTCCATGTTCAAAATATATAATCAGAATCTGGTTACCTTTTACCAACTCTTAGGAGCTACAGTGATCAATCTCTTATTCTTACTACTGTGGCTAGAGTGTTCTTATTCCAATGAATCAAAATCCTACAGTGGTTTTCTATTTAATTCAGAATAAAAGCCACCATTCTCAGAATGGTCCGCAAGACCCAACATGATGTGCCCTACTTCCCACTCACACCTTGCTCACCTCATTCTTTCTATTCTCTCTTTAAAGTCTGGTTTTAACCACACCGTCCCCTAGCTGTAACTTTATTACAGCACCGTGTTGTCTTTTTTACCTAGAATGCTCTTTCCCTGGCATCCAAATGGTTAACTCCACTCTTTTCAAATGTTTGTTCTGTAACACCTCCTCAGTGAAGCCTCCCAGACTTCTTTGCACCAATCACAACCCCCTTCCCAGTGCCCCTAATCTCTGTTACCCTGTTCTGCTTTTTTCTTTTTTCATAACATTTATCATCCTCTAACACAATTACTTACTTATTTTCTGTGTCTCTTTGTCTACATCTGACATGTTGATAATCTGTATTTGTTGAATGTTAAATGAATGGAATATATCCAAAGATAACATGTCCTTTGGTATGAGTGTTCCTTTTTTTCTCTTTATCTCTCTGTAATCCTTTTTTACTTATTCGTGTTCAAAAGAATATCCCCTTTTTAAAAATATTTCTATTTTAAATAGCCGAATCTTTAATAAAGATTAGCTGACAGAAATGTAAGTAACAGTATTTCCTCAAGAGCTAGAGATAATTTCAATTATATGCATACTTGTAAGAAAATTAATCAACACTATTATACTTTATGTTTTAATATTATAGCCAGGTAAGAGGCTACCTTCTTTCTGTTTTATTACCTAAATTATTCAGATCAGAAGTTGGAAAGATTTTTATATAAGGGAGAAAGAATTGACATATCTCTAATTGTTGAGATAGCCTTTAAAATATAGCATGTTATTTTATCCTTATGTACTGAATTTTGCTGGGTTCTCTCTCATGTGGAAATTTGACTTCCTGAAAGTGGGATGGATTAAGATTCCTCACAGACATAGGCAATACCGATAACATAGGGAATGCCCCATTCTGTAACTCTGTTGTCATGTATTACATGTTTAAAAGAAGTCTAGCTTCAGAGAGGTTATGAAGTAAAACATAATGGGAAAGTTTTATGGTTGTCATAGATAAAAAACTATGCTTCTAAAATACCTTTGTAATTATTAATAATGCCATTCTTTAAAAGTAGTAATTTGTGCTGGCTTGGGCAGTACCTATACTAAAATGGGAATGATACACAGAAGATTGGCAAAGCCTCCATGCAAGGATGAGCTGTAAATTCATGAAACATTCCATATTTTTTCAAAAAGTTAGAAGTAGAACTACTGTATGATCCAGCAATTCTACTTCTGGAAAATTATCTGAAGACATTGAAAACATCAGTTTGAAGACATATATGCATGCCTGTATTTATTTACAATAGCCAAGATATGGAAGCAACCTAAGTGTCCATTAATAGATGAAGAAGATGTGGTATATATTCGATGGAATATCACTCACCCATAAAAAAACAAATTAAATATTGCTATTTGTGACAACATGAATGGACCAAGAGGGTATTAAATGCTAAGTGAAATGAGACAGACAGAGAAAGACAAATACTGTATGATCTCACTTACCTGTGAAGTCTAAAAGTCAAAATAAATGAATTAAAAAAAAAAACAGAAACAGACTCATAGATACAGTAAATAATCTGTTACCAGAGTGTGGAGGTGGTGGTGGATGGGTGAAATAGGTAAAGGGGATTAAGAGGCACAAGCTCAGTGTTATGAAATTAAGTCATGAGTATATAATGTACAACATAAGGATTATAGTCAATAATATGGTAATAGCTTTATATGATGACACATGGTAACTAGACTTATTGTGGGGATCATTTCATAATGTATAAAAATATCAAATCACTATGATATACCTGTACTAATAGAATATTTTATGTCAATTATATTTCAATAAAAAACCAAAAATAAAAGTAATTATTTGTTCAATGATAAATGAGCTAGGTTCCATTTTGTATTCCTTTCTTAAAAGTATAATTTTAAATTACGAACATAATATCATTATAGATTTTATAAAAGCGAGAACAAAATGTGGCCTTAAGTTTACCACTGTAACATGACCATTTTCATTTTGCACGAATATTTCCTTTTTGCATATTTATCTTTCACAGAGTTCTAAGAGGGTATTTAGTTTTATCTTGTCTTTTTTTTTTAACTTAGATATATGTCCTATCTGTTTCTTCATGTGGCTGTGTAGTCATTATCACAGTAATTTTTCAAGGTTACATAATGGTCCCTAGTGTAGCTGTACTGTAGTGATCCTAAATATTTTCCAGGTGTTAGATATTTAAATTGCTTTCAAAATTTTTTGGTCATAAATAACTTTATAATGAAAACTTTTGTGCTTGTAGCTTTTTCTGGCACATTTTCCTAGGACGTACTCTCAAAGGTGAAATTCTTGTTTCACACAATATGAACATAATAATGACTCTTGATATATTGCCAACCTACTTTCCCAAGTGATTGAACCAATTTTCCGCCTCTAGCAATGTATGAAAGTGAAGTTTCACTGCACCCTTGCTTGCGATTTCTTAGTTTTTCCCCCCTTTCCTTGAATCTTGTATTGTTAACATTAAAATGCTGGTGCTCCATTCCAAGATGGGAATTTAGAAAGCAGTTTTAAGATGTCAGATGTCCAACTCTGTTTTTCTCTCAAAGAGAAGGGAGATAATTGGTTGGATGTGTTTGATTTAGTTGTACCTGGAAAGATTGGGGTAAAGATACACATTGTTGGAATGATCAGTTGAAGACATTTGGTATTTATATCAAATGAGTGTATGTGATATAACCTGGATAATCATTTTTGCCATCACAGAGCTTTACCTTGCTGTTTTAGTCTGGAACAAATTGGTTTACAAAAAGACATTACATTTATATGTTTGTTTTCTAAAAATCTAAAGTGACAGAAGAAGCTTGCAACCCAGTTTTATACTTTCCGAATATTTTTGCTTAATTTTGGAGGACCATATGATTCCAGTTTTCTTAAAATTAAATAATTTATCCCTTAAAAGAGTTAAATGCAGTTGTTCCTGCTGATGGAGGGATGGAGACTGGTATTGGTCATCGAAAGCTATAGATAAAACAGAACTTTCTTCCACAAGTAATGGTGAATAGAGGCTGAGGGAAGAATTCTGTCCTGGAAAAGAGGGGAGAATGTTGGTAAGACTTCAGGTTAGCATCATTTTAATAGTAACTAGTTATTCTAGAACACTAAACAATTTTGGGACATGTTCAGATCCACTCTTTCACCTGTGGAGTTAGTAGGATGGGAGATCTTGTTATAAACATGCAGAGAAGCTTTGGGATAAACCCAAGGGCTGGTGGTGGGTAAAGATGTGCCTTCATGGTGTGTACTGGACTGTCACACAACCTTAGCTTCAAATCTCTGATTTTATTATACCACAGAATAGGTTTTTTAAACATCTCCTTATTCTCTCATACATAAATTCATTGAGTTCCTACCTATCCTCTGTGGCATAGGTATGTGCCTTCATAGATGGCTTGGGGGTGTAGCAATCAGGTCTGCAAAGAAAGCAGGATAGTATGTGTGGTAAATGATTCAGCAAAGCAGATGCCAAGATCTGGACAGTTCTCAGAGGAGAGAGGGCTGGCTTTTCTGGAGAACCAGGTGATATTTATATTAATGGAGAGGGTGATAATGGTGCTGGGTTCTTGAAGGGTCAGGAGGGACAACCCTTGTGAATCTCTTTGACTTTGACCAATAAGGTCAGTGATATTGCTAAGAAAGTACACAGGTCTTGTGTCAAGAAATAACTTTTTCTATGAAGGGTACAGGAGATGGCTCCTTCCCTCCTCTGCTGCTCAGAGTTGGTTATTCTGTGCTGCTTTCTTTGCAGACGAGCTTCGTAAGAGCTACTCTCATTTCTCAGGAGTTCACCTTCCTTGATTCCTACATTTTCTTTCAAGTCAGTTTACCCATTTTTTCATTTATTTATCCAATAGATGTACTGGTTGCTGAGATCTAAATAATGAGAAGGAGCCTTTGAAGATTCGAAGCAAATACTTTCAGGATTACACAGGACATGAGGAGTGAACACTTGGCATATTCTAGGAATAGAAACAAAGACTTTGGAGACTGGAAATTAGGGGATTTAGTAGTTGAAGTTGGAGAGCAGAGAAGGCCCAGATCCAATATGAAGTTTAGAATTTGCTCTAAGTACAACAGGAAGCCATTGGAGGGTTTTAAGCAAATAAGCCAAAGGATCTGTTTTATCTATAATTTTAATATTATGGTCTAGAAAATTTTAGGAAAAGTGCATCTCAGTGAATTGGGGCATGTAATATACAGACAATTTGGATGATGGCTTTAGGTTAAAGAAAGGGGAGACAGTTGTTACTTACAGAAAAGGGGATGACACCAGGATTTAGTTCACACTCACATGTGTGCATCTCTGCTTGTCTCAGCACAGTGGGACAGATTGCCAGGTTAGGACCAAAGGGGATACCAGGAATTCCTCTCCTCCCTCCAGGTTTCCTCAGATCTTATTTTCATATCAAGTGATTTGCAAGATACTGCCCATGTCAGTGCTCCAGGAGTAACTGATATTACTGCCCTTTGCTTGGCAGCAGCCCAGCCACTCCAGTGAGCAAGGGCCATGTTTCTGATGAAAATGACAGCTGATTGACTTAAGAGACTTTCAGACTCAAGCCACCCCAGTCACTTCTTTATGCAAACAGTCTCTGATGTAATGATGGTAGACTTGCAATTTTTCAACTTTATGATGCTGCCAAAGCCATAGGAATTCAGTAGAAACCGTCCTTCCTAATTTTGAATTTGGATCTTTTCCTGGGCAAGTGTCGTGCAGGATGTCCTCTCTCATAATGCTGGGCAGCAGCAGCCTCAGGTCCCAGACCCCCACACAGTCACAAGGGTCAAGGACTGATCCTATTGACAACCATTCCGTCTCCATGCAACTGTTCTGCTTTTCCACTTTCAGCACAGCAATTTAAGAAGTTTCGTGCACTATCCAACTTTATTTGAAAATAGTCTTTTTAAAGATGATTTTGCCCAGGGGTAGGTTCATGTAAGTGTCCTGAGCACATTTAAGGTAGGCTAAGCTAACCTGTGATGTTTGGTAAGTTAGGTATATTCAGTGCATTCTTGACTTAGGATATTTTCAGCTTACAAGTGGGCTTATCGGTCTTAACCCCATCGGCAGTGAAGGAAGATCTGTACCTTCTTATCCTTTAATCCCCTCTCCTTCCCAATTAGAGCAAGTGGGGAGAAGTGTTCCTAGACATTACAGGAGGATCATTGAGGATCTCTCTTTAGGCATTTAAAGTTGAATAAGGAGCAATAGACTCTGCTGCCTGACACTCATAGAACTAGGCTGCCAAACAGTAGCTTGAGTTTGAAAGAGAACAGAGAAGTGACCGGAAAGGTGGCCTCTGCTCAGTGGGGTTTGGGGATTGGGGAAATTCTGTTGGGAATGCAAACACTGAGATTTTACTAGTTGAGTTCTAATATTCAAATCTGGTCTTCATTAATCTGACATTCCAGGGCTTCCTTTAGTTTAAATGAGCATGCAGAAGCTGCTTAACAGGGAAAAGAAGGACGGACTGGATGACTTTACCTGTGTATTCTGTTTCCTTTAATTGCTTTTCTCTTAATTACCTTTAATCTAATTTCAGTTTCCTTTACAACACACAGTTCACGTATTTTTGGAAGGGTTGCTTGTGCCCCATCCACCTCCCACCATCTTCTCTGTATTTCCTCAGTGCTCTGTTTTTACTTCTCTCAAAGATTTGTGCACTTAACATATTGTGAGCAACATTCTTTTCTCTTTAGACTGTAGGTTCCCTAAGGATTGGAATATTGGCTTATTAATTACTGTGCCCTTTGTGCTGCGTATTTCCTTCAGATTATATGAATTTAATATGTCTTAAATTTTTTATTTTGGTGGAAATCTTTGTTGAAAAATCCTATCATATACTCTTATGCCACCTTAGGGTGGGAGAGGAGTGGAGCATTTTCTTATGGCCATGGGACAATCATTTTGCTCTCCATTTATTATTCCTGACTTCTGAGGTATCTGATACCATATTTCCTTATATTAAAAATTTCAGAGCATACAACTTTTAAAATACAGTTTCAGTTTTTGAAATTATTTTATATCTCTTCCTTCTTATAACTGATCTGGTCTACTGCTACAGGCTGGAGCTTGATTTCACATGTGCTTGCCTGGGAGGGGAATTGAAGGCTTTGGACTGTTAGAATGGAAA